TAAGCTTCTGTCTGTCCTTCGGCTTCGCGGAAACATACAGCTGTGTATCATCAGCATAACAGTGGGAAGCTAATTCCATGTTTACGAATAATTTGTCCTAGGGGTAACATATATAAGGTTAAAAAGCAGCGGGCCTAAAACAGAACCCTGGGGAACTCCAAAAGTAACCTCAGTACGCATGGAGAAATCACCATTTATATCTACGAACTGATAACGATGGGTCAGATAAGACCTGAGCCAGGAGAGGACTGTTCCCTTAATACCAACAACATTTTCTAATCTATCAAGGAGAATAATAGTGTGATCTATGGTAACGTAAAGCTGCACTAAGGTCTAGTAACACAAGCAGCGAGACACAACCCTGATCAGAGGTCAGAAGAAGGTCATTTACTACTTTAACTAGTGCTGTCTCTGTGCTGTGATGTGAGTGTCTAAATCCTGACTGATATATTTCATGAATGTTGTTCCTTTCTAAGTATGAGCATAACTGTTTTGCTACTACCTTTTCTAGAATCTTTGAGATGAAGGGGAGATTCGATATTGGTCTATAATTGGATAATTGAGACGGGTCAAGGTCAGGTTTTTTATCAATGGTTTAATAACTGCTAATTTTAGAGATTTAGGGACATAGCCAGTGGTTAGGAGGAATTTACTATATTTAAAAGTGACTTAATTACTCCTGGACAAATCTGTTTAAACAAACATGTGGGTATAGGATCTAGTATGCAGGTTGATGAATTAGCTGATGAGATTAGTGTAGCTAGGTCGGTCTCTATAAGCCGGAGCAAAAACACTCTAAACATTGATCCGGTATTGCCACATTGTCATCTAATGTGTTTGTTATATTACTGACCGGTTGTAATTTAATGGCCTGTATTTCATCTCTAATATTTTCAATTTTATAAATGAAAAATTTCATAAAATCCTCACTGCTATGAAATGATTGAGTTTTTTCCTCTGAAGTGGTTTTATTCCTAGTTAGTTGTGCTACCGTGTTGAAGAGGAATCTGGAATTGTTTTGGTTGTCTCCTATTAAGGTGGAGAAGTAGATTCTTTTAGCATCGACAAGAGATTTCCTATATTGCAGTAGGCTCTCCTTCCATGCTGTCTGAAATATAACCAGCTTGGTTTGGCGCCATTTACGTTCTAATTGTCTAGATTTCTGTTTTAAGGATCGCGTTAGATCATTATACCAGGGTGCTAATTTTTTTTGTCTAATTATTTTCCTTTTGAGTGGAGCCACTCTATCTAGGTGCAACGGAGTGTTGACTCCAAACTTTCAGTTGCCTGGTCGAGATCTACTGGATCAGGCGCTGATCCAAAACTAACTGATGTCTCTGGTAGGTTATTTATGAAGCTCAGTGCAGTTTCTGATGGGTGGTGGCGTAGAGCGAGTGGAGATATTATAATCCATAACGGATTATGAATGAGATAAGATGGTGGTCTGAGATAACTTCAGACTGTGGAATAATTTCAATATTTTCTATACGTAGTCCCGTATGTTAGTATGAGGTCAAGGTGTGACCACCACATGAGTGAGGGCCCGATCACGTTCTGATTAATCCCTACTGAATCTAAGATGGACACGACCGCTGTTCTCAGAGGGTCCTCCAGGTTATCAAAATGAACATTAAAATCTCCGACGATTAATGCTTTATTTACAGACACAACCAGGTTTGATACAAAGTCTGCAAATTCACTAAGAAATTCAGTATAAGGCCCCGGGGGTCTGTAAATAATAATTAGAGGAATTGACTTATTTTTTTTGGCTATGGGATTTACACTGGTATAAAGAATTTCAAAGGAATTAAACTTATGACTATATTTTTGTGTGACGATTAGATTTTCACTATGGATAAGACCAATACCTCCTCCTCTACCAGTTGAACGAGGCTGATGTACATAACTGTATCCAGGAGGACTGGCTTCATTTAATGCTATGTACTCGTTTGGTTTAACCCAAGTTTCCGTTAAACACATTAAATTACATTCCTGGTCAGTAATGATGTCGTTGACAATAAGAGCCTTAGACATAAGAGATCTAACGTTTAATAGTCCTAGCTTCAGATCAAAAATGCTGGCTGTGCATTCAATATGATTTAATTTTATGTTAATTAGGTTACGAAGGTTACGAGATTTCCTATTTATGTGTATAGCTCGGGGAACAGACACAGTCTCAATAGTATTTATTACTGGTGATTGACTATTAAATGAACATTGATTAAACTGACTGTTATTGTCAGAAGATGTACTACGGTAGAGAGTCACTTGGAGTGAGCGAGCCTCGGAGATGTTCTCGGACAGCAGTTCCGCTCCAACGCTGCTGGGGTGCAGGCCATCAGGACGAAAACAGCCTAGGGCGCTCCAAAACAGATTCCAGTTATTAACAAACACTAGATTCTGCTCATTACACCAAGAGACTAACCATTCATTTAAAAGCGAAGTCTACTGAACTTTTCTGCTCCACGTCTGAATGTGGGAAGAGGTCCAGAGACGATGATCCTCGCTGTGGGTGATCTGCCTCACGTTCCGTCTCGATCAGGCTGGTGAAGTCCCTCTTCAGAACCTCCGTCTGCCGTAGCCTGGTGTCGTTCCGTCCCGGGCGTGCAGCAGCACCACTCCAATGCGGCTCGTCCTTCAGGATCCTGGATACCTGCACAGCGACATCAAGAACACGAGCACCAGAAAAACAGTGTGTGTGCACCTTACCTTTGGATGAAGCTAACGGACGTTCACACGATGGAGTCTCCGACGATCACGGCGTTGGTTCTGGTCTGGCATATTTTCCTCACCTTACACAAAGAAAAAATTCTCTAGGGAAATGACTTTTATATTTTAACAAAAATTATATACATCATTTTTTTTTAAAATATGTACTATTTTTTACGATCCACAAAAAATATACTTTTTATTTTTATTTCAAAAAGGGGGGGGGGCGCGTTTTTTTTTTGCTTTCGGTCTCTTTGTCCCCCCCCCTCTTTTTTCCCGGTCCGGATTTCTATCCGGCTTGCTCAGTAGTTCTACCATGCGTGCGGCTGGCCCCCGATCCTTTCCCCACTAATGTTTTTCCTCCTTGCGCTCGTCAATTTTTGAATTGTCAAAACATATAAGATAATACCATAAATAAAAAAAAAAAAATCCTTCCGCCACTCCGAAACCCCAACCGATAAAAACAAAAAAAAAAAAAACAAAAAACAAAAAAACAAAGAAATTGCCCGTAAAATTGACCCCTCCCCCCAACCTGCGACTTAAAAAAAAAAAGAAAGAAAATGAACAAAAAAGAACCCAAACCATAACCCCCCTTCCACAAGAAAATATGGCACATTAAAAGTCTGAAGGACCACAAAAAGGAAAACAAAACAAAAAAAAAAAGAAAAAAAAAAAAAAAAGGCAAAAAAAAAAACATGAGGGCAACAAAAAGCACAAAAAAAAAAGAAACAAGAAGCGGGGAAAAGGCACTAGTACCGGAAGAAAAAAAACAAAGGAGAAGGAAAAAAAAGGGAGAAACAAAAAAAAGGGAGAAAAAAAACTACAATAAAAAAAAAGCTGGGAGGGGGCAGTGCGAGAAGGAAAGGGTACGGTCTACAATATGAAAAAAGAGGAAAAATAATACAGAAGATGGGGGTGTTTTTTAACAAAAAGAAAAAAACAAACAATAAAACCAAAAAAAAGGTAACATATAGGTGTTATGCCCCTATACCTGTGGGCCCCAAAACGTTGGGACGCTACCCTTATTCTGCACTTTTTTTATCTTTATTCCAAGTTACCTCCCCCTCTCCACCCCTCCCCTTAATACGCTTTTGCAGCTAAGGAATATTTCACTGTGGGGTTTTTATTTTGCATTGCCCCCCTTCTTAATACATCCCCCTCTTTTTTACTTTTTTTCTTTTCGCAAAAGTAAGTCATCCGAATACTGCTTTGAGACAATGTCTATTGTAAAACCCCGCTATACAAATAAAATAGAATTGAACTGAATCGAATGTGTACATCCTTCTGAATGTGGAAGCCTGACTCTTTCCTTGATCAAGAAGACAGGTTACTGGTTTTCCACAGAACGTTGAAGCCTGTCTCTTTTGTTGCTCAATAAGACTCTGAACTTGACTGGAGTTTTTTCTGTAAAGTACTGGTCACCAAGTTGACCTATAAGCAAGAGGTCTCTGCTCGAACAAGGCTGGGAGCGGTTTCCCTTCCGTTGTGCTTTTGTAGCAAGGCAGATAACAGCTGCTTGCAAAATCACAGGGAGTCTCTGCTTTTCCACTGAATGTAGGAGTCTGACTCTTTCCTTGATCAAGAAAACAAGTGTAAGGATGCGTTCGACTCGAGGTTGCAACTTGTAATTCCCCACCTCTAAATAGGAACATACAATGAAAATGCCTTCCCTGTTCACCGAGTGATGTCAAGTCAACATGACAGATTCAGAACTCACAAAGTGGCACTTACCTTAGTGCTGATTTGCTTTAGATCAGGGTTGTCCAGTCTTATCCAGAATGAGCCAGTGTGGCTGAATAATTTCATACTAACCAAGCAGAAGCCACACATTAGTCTATTGAAAGCCAAGATCAGCAGATCAAACAATTGGAATAAGGTGTGGCTCCTGCTAGATTGGAACGAAAACCTGAAGATTGGACAACCCTGCTTAAGACCAATCAGCATATAGGCATATTTGCTTGTTAAATTTAAAACATTGACTATGTAGACAGCTGATAGTGGAAAATGTACACCTCTCTTCACAGTTTGCATGCTTGTCACTAACAGAAGACAGACCCGATTTTCTCACATTTTTGCCCCTTGTTCACAGGTGAAACGTACCCTGATGGATAATGATGTGCTTCCAAACAGCAACAAACCACTAACAACACAACTGGGAAAGCTGAAAGGCTTCTAAGAGGCCTGCATTGAAGCCTATGGCACACTCTATTGCCAACTCATTTGCAGGTAGGCCCTTCCTTCCTTTTGTTCCAACTACCATAAAGTAGCACTTAAAGCTTCAATTTACAGTGTGCATTGGCCAGGAATCGAACCCAGGTAAACTGCTTGGAAGGCAGCTATACCAGCAATGCCCACCACTATACCACCAATGCCATGATGGGAAACATCACGTTTGCCTCACATGCAAAAGGTCCCTGGTTTGAGGCCGGGCAGAAACAAGCTAGAAATTTGGAATTTTGCTTTAATAACTGACCGGTTTTCATCACTATAGGATCAGGTCCTTTAAGCAAGCCCGAAAGCAAGACCTCGACCAGAGCAGAATTCCTGCTTTTGTTGCAAAGCAGATAACATTTGCTTACAAAATAAAGGTAGTCTCTGTTTTTTCACAGAAAGATAAAGCCTGTCTCTTTTGTTGCTCAATAAGACTCTGAACGTGACTGGAAAATTTTCTGTAAAGTACTGGTCACCAAGTTGACCTATCAGCAAGAGGTCTACGCACAAAAACGGCTGGGAGCGGTTTCCCTTCCATTGTGCTTTTGTAGATTATCATGAAGACAAGTGTAATGATGCGTTTGACTAGAGGTTGCAACTTGTAATTCCCCACCTCCAAGTATGAACATACATAGAAAACGCACCCTCAACTGGGAACCACTCCTGAAGGGAGAGAGCATGCACCGGACGAGTCTCATCTTCAGAAAAGGCATTAAACGTCTCATAGAATAGAGACTGAGGTTTCCTTTTTTAAAAGCCATCTTTGTACATTAGACCCTTCTCCAATTCCTTCAAGAGCGAGAATAAGTTGGAAATAGTCACTTCAACAGCGGTCATGCCACACGTTCCACAAGAGATCCAGAAACAGTTCAGGCTGAAAGTCAAGTCGATTGCTAAGTAATTACCATGTCCTGGGTGTAGATAGGCTAGAAATACATTATTTAGGAGCCACAGGGCATGGTTGTCAATGAACTCCTCAATTCTCTTGCCTCTGGTGTTACTCCACTTACCATCCCACAGTGTACTGTGGCTATTAAAATCCTACATAAGTATGAACGGTAGGAGGAGATGCAGGACAAGGCTGTCTTGGTGTGTTAGAGTCATGTCTGGTGGAATGTATATTGAGCACACTGTATTAGCTCTGTTAGTACAGATGTTTTATGCACCGATATCGCTTGTCCAAAGTGATGTGACTGTGTTTCATGTCAGTTGTTTGCACCAAAAGAATTTAGAACTGTACAGTTTTTAAAAAACTAAGTGTCAGTTGCCAACTGGGTTTCATGCAGACCCAATGCAAGAAGAATAAAAGTTTCAGCTAGCTGTTGCAATCCTGCAAAATTAGCTCTAAAACCACGACAGTTCCACGATGATAGTATAGTTCATAATTAAGTGTACTGGTACACTCGCCCTTGTTAGTGATTCTTTCTAGTTGAGGTTTTTTGAAGGTAATAATGTACGTGCCGGTTTTAATACGTCTTCTCTTCTGATTGTTATTCTCTTCACATGCATCACTCCTTGAGTTTTGAGCTCTAGAGCAATCTCAACTTCTGCATCATCTCTTTCTTTGGTGCGAATCACTCCTTTCAAAACCATTTCAAACCCTCATTTCAAAACCAGCCAATGAAGTTGCATGAAGATACATTCCATTATTTTTTAGAACATTCCACAAGAATATGTCCAGATCTCAGTTTTTCCACATCCTTCACTGCACCAACTATTCCTGTAAAGCCCTTATGAATGGCCAAAGGAGATCATTTTGTGATCGGTGTATCCGATGACATAGACTAAATAATTATGCATACTGGCCTATCTTCAGTACTTAGCATTGGAGGTCCAGGGGGTGGTAGGTGCTGGTCCACGTAGCCAGCAGAACTGCAACCTTTTGATGCCAGTTCATCGAGAGACTCCTCACTGGACCCAGCCTATAGGCTTTTACACACAGTAGGAGGACTGGGGTTGGACAAGAATTTGTTTTATTGGAGACAAGAACACTACACTTTGCTGGATTACCATTTTTTTTATCGTGGGCTTTTTAAAATATGGAACCTTTTTAAAAAAACAAATCAAGGGGTGCAGAACACCACAGTGACTTCAGGAGAAACTCCTGGTTCATGGTGGGCAATTGGACATCTCTGGTGTGACCACTCCTTTATTATCCAGGGTTCTTGCCTCCTAAGGGATTCTGACATTCCGGCAGCTGGTGAACATCACAGGGACGGCCCTGTCACATGCAGAGGACTTAGCAGCGCACCTGAGAGTACAGTCTCTACACATTTTAAATAAGCTCCTACGTCACTGGAGGTCCACCCTAACGTCAGAGGAGCATGCTCAGCTGATGGACAACAAAACAAGCGAGACTAGGCCTACAGAGGAAGAACCTTTCCCCAAGCTGGGCATCACTCTAGATGGGTATGGGGACCCCCTCCTGGAGTTCAGCAGTGACATGAACATTGCAACAGTGTCGGGTTTTCTTCTGTACACAGCCTGCTTGAAAGTTTTAAATATAAAAAATTTGAATGGGGGAGTGGGCACCCCATGGCGAAGTGTATTGAGTTTTAATGATGATATTAAACCAGAGTGGAGGGCACTATACAAACCACCAATACAACAAAAATTTGCTGACCTCCAATGGAGGAGTTTTACATGGAATTGTTTCTGTAAATTATTTTATCTCCATTTTAAACCCTGGGGTCACACAGGAATGTTCATTTGTTCACAGAGAGAGACTATGCTTCATGCTTTTATACATTGTTCCAGGTTGCAGCCATTGTTTGTGTTTTTAAAAAACAACCTGAGGTCATTTTATGTGGATGTTACTTTTCAAATTTTTATCTTTGGTTTTAAGTATGCCAGAAGAAATAGATTCAAGTGTCAACTGATCAATGTTATCTTTGGCTAGGCCAAAATGGCGATATACCTGAGCAGGAAAAACAAGGTGGCACAAAACACAAACTGTGATGCCATAAAAATTCTCTACAGACTGACCAAATCATGAATTCTGATTGATTTTAACTTTTACAGAAGTATGAGGGACTTGGAGATGTTCAAGGCAGTGTGGTGTTGTGAGGAGGCTCTGTGCTCGGTAGAGTGCACCAGCATTAGACTGATAATGTTCATAACAACTGTTTGTTGTTGTGTTGAGTTATTTATTTATTTTAGGGTTGCAACTAATGATTATTTTCATGTTGGGAATAAAAGATAACACTGACAGAAACAGTAAACTGAAGAAAGTCAATGTCGGTGACTCTGAGGCTAAAGTTACCGGTGTCGCATTACGTGTGTGACATGCGCCATCGACTAGGAAGTGGATTATACTTCCAATTAGTAAACCCACAAGTGTTCCATTTGAGAGGATGTTACCTTTCAAAAATCCACACACTAGACTACAGAGAATACAGAGTTTTCACTTGATTTTGGACACAACTTTAGTGTTGTACATTACTCCAAGTAATGTAATGAGCAAATCTCCACCAATGCGGTGCGCAGACTAACTAATCCATAATGAGATTCAATACAGATTTTCATAATCGATTATTATCCATTTTATAGATTAGTTGTTATAGCTCTAATTTATTTATTTATTTATTTATTTGTTTGTTTTTTATGGTCCTATAAATATTTATTCATTCATATATTGAGTCACCTTGACTTTAATGTGTATGTGACTTTTGCTAAATAAAGGATTGTAAAAGTCAAAGTCTCTCCAGCTCTCTCTCTTCCAGTTTCCACCTATACATCACTGAGGGAAATCTCAAATCTCCCTCCAGAGCTGAGCAGAAAGATCACAAACCAAAATAATGTCATTTAACCAGCGCATATTAAACAGAAAATACTAATTAAGGTGTACAATTACTTATAAATGAATATCAACATGAACAATAATAATAATTATTAGGGGTTCGATTCCCCCGCGCGATGTGTGTGCGGAGTTTGCATGTTCTCCCCGTTCTGTACGGGTTTCCTCCAGGTACTCCGGTTTCCTCACCCAGTCCAAAAACACGCATGGTAAGCTGATTGCGTGTCTAAAGTGTCAGTAGTGTATGAATGGTGTGTGAGTGTGTATGTGATTGTGCCTGCAATGGACTGGCACCCTGTCCACGGTGTACCCCCTCGCGTGCCCGATGTTCCTGGGATAGGCTCCAGGTTCCCCCGTGACCCTGAAGAAGGAGTAAGCGGTAGAAGATGGATGGGTGGATGGATGGATTAATAATTTGATTATCAATGACGTGTGTGTGTGTGGTGATGATGGTGATTATGTCAGACACTGGAGGTGTGACAAACACAAGCTCTTAATTTACTTCTACAGAGTGAATCTGCTTTAGACATCCCCATAGCACCTAATTTACACACCTAGAAGTGAAGCTGAGTTTAGACAAACAAAGGCTCTTACTTTACCCACCTAGGAGAACACACATGTTAGAAGTGTCCTTATAACTTTAGATTTGCCACAGAAAGCAATTAGGCCTACTGTTCAGTAAGGCACAGAATTCTTCTACTCAACCCACACTCAGAATAGAACTTGACCAACCATCGTTCAATGAGTTTAGATTATGCTTCCAACTATGGATAATACAGATATTTGAATATGCTTTAAGTAATACATCTAAATGTAGGTTACATATTAAATACACTTCATTAACATATCCAGAAGTGACTTATACATATTGATTACACGTCATAGCTATTTTCTTAGACATATTTTTGATATATTTTCTATAGCTTTAGCGGGAGAAAATGTACAAATATATTCAGTTTTATTGGTTCTATGTGCACTCAAACACATTATTAAGACAATACATATGTCCTTTTTGTGTGTTTATTTCTTGAGAAACGGAAGAGAAGTACAGCGGTATAGCCGCAACAAGTTTAACACGGTGCGTACCACTGAGGAACAATTACTAAACTGAGGAACGGATTACTAAACTGAGGGAACAGATTACTAAACTGAGGGAACAGATTGCTAAACTGAGGGAACCGATTGCTAAACTGAGGGAACAGATTACTAATCTGAGGGAACAGATTACTAAACTGAGGGAACGGATTACTAAACTGAGGGAACAGATTGCTAAACTGAGGGAACAGATTACTAAACTGAGGGAACAGATTACTAAACTGAGGAAACAGATTGCAGATTGATTTTTTTTTACCTGGCACTAGGGGG